AGTTCAAGGCCAGCCTGGGCTACAGAGCGAGATCCAGGAAAGGCGCAAAGCTACACAGAGAAACCCTGTCTCGGAAAAAAAAAAAAAAAAAAAAAGAAAGAAAGAAAAAAAACAAACAGATTTTGGGCTGGAGAGATGGCCCAGAGGTTAAGAGCAAACAAATTTTAAGATTTTATTTTTTAAGATTCATTTTTATTTCTATTTTAAGTATGTGTGTGACTGTGTGAGTGGGTGTCCGAAGAGGCCAGGCCTGTGGTTAGTGATCCCCTGGAACTGGAGTTACCGGCAGTTGTGAGCCTCCCAGTTCCTAAGAACTGACCTCCAGTCCTCTGCAGGAACCGGAAGTGCTCTTAACCACTGAGCCAGCTCTCCGGCCATTGGTTTTATATTTTTAATGCAGGATCTCACTATGTAGTCCTGACTTGGAACTCGCTATGTAGACTAGACTGGCCTGGAACTCACGGAGATCCTCCTGCCTCTGTCTCCCAAGTGCTGGGATTAAAGGCAGATACCACCACACCCAGTTCTTATTTTATTTTTTAAATTATGTGTATGGGTATGTGCATGTAAGGTAAATGCCCAAGGAGGTCAAAAGAGGGCTTCAGATTGCTTGGGCTGAAGTTATGGGCAGCTATAAGTTGCCTGACGTACGTGCTGGGAACTGAACTCACATCCTCTGGAAGAGCAGTAAGTACTCTTACCACTGAGCATCTCTCCAGCCTCATTGTTTTTGAGACAGGGTCTCTGAACCTGGAGCTCCGTTTCATCCAGACCGGCTAGCCAGTTAGCCTCGGCATCACCCGCCTGACCTGCCTCACCGCCTCATTCCTACCAGCTCTTAGGTAGGTGCTGGGAATCCAAACTCAGGCCTTGTGTAACAAGGCGTTTCCCCACGGAGTCAGCTCCCTGACCTCACATTCCCAGCTTTTAGCAAGCTTCATAATAATTTTTAACCTTAGAGAAACCATTAGTAAACCAATATATTTTGTAAAAGATTGATCCAATATTCAGCAATTTGTCCCTATCTTTTGTTTTTTTCTGTTGAACTCCAATAAAATTCAGTCCTCTTAAGCCAAGTGTGGTGTCATCTGTAATCTCAGCCTCAGGAGACTGAGGCAGGAGGATTGTGGCAAGTTCACGGCCAGCTTGGGCTACATGGTGAGATCCTGTCTCAAAACACCAAAGCCCAGAAGGGGACCAGTGGGGGGTCACTCCTTCTCTTCCTGGTGCTGGAGACTGAGGCCAGGGTCTCATAGGCGCTAAGCAGTGCTCCGCTGCTGAGCTGCAGACCCCAGCAGGGTCCCACATCAGGGTCCCTCCCACCCTCTGGGGTGATTCAGATCTAGTGTTTCCTTCTCCCTGTCCTGTGCCAAACTTCTCTGTGTAAACACAGCATTCACGCTGCTTCTGACGGTTACATCTGTAACCCAGTGCTTGGGAGGCTGAGGCAGGAGGATTACTATGAATTTGGGACCAGCCTAAACTACAGAGTGGGACTTTATCTGGAAGAAGAAAGAAGCCCAGCTGTGGAGGCTCAGGCTTTTAATCCCAGCACTCGGGAGGCAGAGGCAGGTGAATCTCTGAGTTCAAGGCCAGCCAGGTCTACAGAGAGCCAGGTCTACAGGACAACCAGGGCTACACAGGGGAAACACTGGGGAGAGAGAGAGAGAGAGAGAGAGAGAGAGAGAGAGAGA